TTAGACATTTTTTTAAATGAAAAATGGCATCGTTGAAGGCTTTTCAGTTGAAATTGCCTTGAATCGCGAATATTTTTATGAGTTCTCCGACAAAATTGATAATTTTTCAAAAATTTTCTCCAATTTCCTTTTCATTTTTCCATTCACTGCACTTATGTTTTTATGTAACTCCTTAAGAAATTCCGTTTTTTTTCATTTCTAATTGAACCTATTCTGATGGGTATTACACGCGCTTGTCACTCATACGCATCTCCTCATTGCTCGTTTGTTATTGTTCTCCAAGAATTGTTCATTGAAAATGCGCATATTTATTAGATTTTTAATTGAGACTCGAATTTTCCCAAAAAAATTTTTCGAATATTTTCCGATTTTTTTCTCATTTCCATCCTTTAATATCACAAATTAATGGGCAAAATTTTTTAATCCTTTTATGTTGTCATTTTTGTGATAATTTCACCAATTTTTGTGCTTCTCATTTCGAATATATTATAATGGGCATATATAATGAATACTAATGGTAATCATAATGAATAAATAATAAACGACCATAAATAACTACATAAAAGGATGAAAATGAGGGTGGTAGCATTGCACATAGGGGTTATAGAGATGCGAATGCTAGTTGAAAAAGTTAATGACCTTTCCGTATGATCATTTTTATTCATTGATCGCTGCCATTTTGTTGTATTTTGAGCTGAGCTGGATGCAGCCGATTGCTTGAGTGAATTGAGTGACTGAGCATTGCATTACGACAGGCTGAGGCTGATGCTTAGGTTGGGGTTCAGGCTGAAGCTTCATTTAAGACTCAGCTTAAAGATAAGGTTGAGACTCAGGCTGAAGCTCAGGTTGAGGTTCAGGCAGAAGCTGAAGTTCAGGCTCTGGCTGAGGCTTTGGCTTTCTTTTCAAGCGTGAACTTTTTTCAAAATACCAGATTTCGTAGAGAATTACACGGGTAATATATTACACGCGTCTCATTGTTCCAGAAATTCTTCGATGATTTCCTTGAAATTATTCCTTAAAATTCGGATAAACCTAATCCCTATCTGAGAACTTAAATTGGAATCTTGAAAAGCGGCTGGCAGTTAGGGTACTTTTATCGTGGAGATAGAATGCATTTTGCATTAGCGAATGATGATATAAGAGGATAATCCTGGGATGTGTTAGGATGATATGAGAGGATATTCTTGGGATATATTGCGATATTCAGTGGGATAGATTCAGTTCTAATCCCAAATCGTATTCATGAACTTTCATATGTTTTTAATCCAGTATCACATTTCCTGCTTAAAGATATCCGATAATTTTTAAGCACTTCTAGGTTATTGTTGATAGTAACGTAAATGACCGATATATATTAACATCATTTATTACAAGTATTATTATCATTGCTATTGTTGTTATAATTATTATTGTTAATATTATTGTTATGATTATTATTAATATTGCTAGGCATATTATTATTGAATGAGCAATCAGTTGAAACGAGTTACCTTAAGTTGTAACGACCGATGGATGCGCACTATTGCAGTGTTGTTGATTGTGATATTAGTAGATAGAAGAACAAAGACTGAATATTATAAGTAAAAATAGGTGGGGGGGATGGGGATAGTTGGGGAGTGGAAGAGGATATTATAAATCAAGGTANGAGGGATTGGTAGACGTTTCGGTGTGCAACACCAGCTTTTCAGTACCTTTGAATGCTACACAGAGTTACGGACACTGATGAGCAGTCAGAGGAGCATGTTCGTGTGATAAATAGTTTTAATATTATTGATAACCGAGATTGTTGTGGATTAATTTGGTTTTAATGCTATGTGCGCAACAATCTGTCGTTACAACTCAAGGTAACTCGTTTTAATGGATTATCAAAATGCGCATAAGCTCACACATTTATCATTATATTCATTATAAATGAGTAATTTCAGTTCAGAGGTAAACTCGACTCGATGCGTACATTCGACGCTCTTATCGAACGAATATCATTTCATTGCTTACTTCTTCTGTTCATCGTGCATTTCGAGTCAATTTCTGGATTCGGGAACGGGTTCGTTCATTTGATATTGTGAAAATTTTGCAGACTTTTTGAAAATCTTTCGGATTTTGCAGAATTTTCCGGATTTTTTGAGAATACCTCTGATCTTCGGGGTGAATTTTCCGTAACTTCCTTTTTCCGTGCTGCTACGAGTCTCTTTCCCACATCTACAGATCTGTCTGCCTTGCACTTCCCTAAAGCACACACAAACATTCACATGGAATCCCTCCCCCCCCCCCCCCCCAGCGAAAATGCACTCTC